GTCTTCCAATTTATATCTGCACCCGTCGGGTCTTCCAATTTATATCTGCACCCGTCGGGTCTTCCAAATTTTCGACAGCAAGAGAGCACTCAGCTGATCTCCCTCTCTTGCAGGTTAGACGCTCGCTCCTGACGTGAGGTGTATGATCACACCTCTCCCTGATGTTGCAGATCCGTCCGGATCTGCTGTAATGATCGCTGTGGCTCGGCTGCCGGTGCACACTGGCTGAGATGAAACCACGTGGAACCTTTCCCTCTCAAGCGTACTGCGTATGATGTGCGTTCTGTCACCTCATATGGGCTCGTCCACCTTGGCTCCGCCCACTTTCGTTTAGTGACTTTCAGCAGTACCCAATCTGAGAGTGGGCATGTGGGATTTACTCCGTCCGGAGTACTGGGCTCAGGAATCTGTAGATGAAAACTGGACAACATACCTTTTAGTTTATCAAAGTACATTTTGTGTGTCATTTTCGATACCTGTTCTGAGGGCCACTCTACATTCTGTTGGGACCCTGGGAACGACCTTCCTGTGGTCAGTTCATAAGGGGTGAAACCTGTACCCCTGTTAACAGAAGCTCTTACCGCCATAAGGGCGATAGGCAATGCATCCAGCCAATTGGAATTTGTTTGTGCACAGATTTTTGATAATTTTTGTTTCAGGTTTCCATTTAATCTTTCCACTTTACCCTGTGATTGTGGGTGATAAACGGTACCAAACGCATGCTTCAAACCCAAGGCTTTTTCAACCTTTTGCAGATCTGCATTTTTGAAATGAGTCCCATTATCAGATCTAACTATCGCAGGGAACCCATGTCTGGGGATGTAGTGATTTATTAAACACTTGATTACAGTTTGACTATCCTCCTTTTTAGCAGGCCAGGCTTCTGGCCATCCGGTGAACGCGTCGACGCAAACCAATAGGTATCTGAAACCTCGTACTGGTTGAATCATGTCGGTATAATCAATTATTACCTCACGACCCGGTGTCATGTCCGTGGGAAACTTTCCTTGTTGACGCGGTTTAAGAGTTGGCTTGGAGTTATACAAACTGCATAACGTGCATTCTTTCACAAACGCTCTGATCAAGTCGTTCATGTACGGGTGCCACCAGCTGACGACATTCCTCTTCATCTGGTGAACCCCCACATGACTCAAACCGTGTGCCTCTTCGAAAATTCTCCGCTTCAGGCTCAGTGGAAGTACCCATCTTCCATCTTCAGGGTTTATCCACAATCCATCTGGTCTCTTTTCAGCTCCTCTTTCACTCCACATCGCCTTTTCTTCTGGAGCTGCACCTTGTTGGCAACAGGCGATGGATTCTTCATCCCATCTGATTCTTTCCCCTTCTTCTTCTGGGGTTATCATCACCATCTGACTCCAGTTGATAAATCCTGAGGCCCTTTTCGCCTCCAAATCAGCTTGACAGTTTCCTTTTGCTATGCTTGAGGAATCTGTATCATGACCTCGACATTTCACAATGGCAATTTCTGTTGGTAACATCAGAGCTGTTTCTAATTCTCTCATATCTGCCTCATGTTTGATAGGTTTCCCGTTAGCTGTATGAAAACCTCCCCTCTTCCACTGGGCCAGCTCCACATGAGCTGCTCCACAAGCATACGCTGAGTCTGTGAAGATAGTCACTCTCTCGCTTTCCGCCCATCTTAGTGCTGAAATCAGGGCCCTCACCTCCGCTCTCTGCGCTGACTGAGAGCCCTGCAATTTCTCACACACTACAGTTTGATAACCCTGATCTGTTTCCAGCACGACCACAAAGCCTGCGCTGAGTTGTCCATCCTGCGTTCGAAAACAACTTCCATCACAAAACAGCACCTGTCCCTCTCCAAGAGGTGCGGCCTTTAAGTCTGGCCTGACTCTGTCATCAATTTCCACTCTTCTCTCACAGATGTGTGGTTCACCTCCTCCAATCCTGTCTGCCATGTTTATTCTCTCATGTGTGAACAACAAGTTCGGTGCTTCCAGGATCTTGTTTATCCTCTGTTGTCTTAACGGTGACATAGTGAAGTTTTGTGAATTTACAAAGGCAACCACACTATGTGATGTCAGCACATGCAGAGTGTGTCCCATCACCAGGTGGGCTGTCTTTTGAACTAGCTTAGCCACCCCCGCAGCATGTTGTGTGCAGGGCAGATGCCTCTTTTCTGTATTGTCTAACAGACAGCTGATATACATCAAAACTTTCCTTCCCCCCTCATGTTTCTGAAACAGAACGCCGTTAATCACCCCTTCTGTTTCAGAAACATCCAGATGGAAGGGCCGGCCATAATCCGGCAAAGCTAAATCTGTAGCCCTGCTCATCTGTTGTTTCACCTCAATGAAGACCCTCTCAGCTTCTTCATTCCACACCAGCCTGGCAGTGGGTCGTCTCATGCCCTGTTCTTTAACCAAATCGCGCAATATTTGGGTTTGGCCTGCATAATTTGGAATGTAATTTCTGCTGTACCCGGTCAATCCTAAAAATGAGAGCATTTCTTTAACCGTCTGCGGTTTTGGATGATGTAAAATTGTGTCACGGTGTGCAGCAGAGAGTCCTGCTCCTTTCTGTGAGATCATCCTCCCCAAAAAGGACACCTGACGTCTCGTCACCTGTAGTTTGTTTTTGATGACCTTAAAACCTGCTGCATGTAGGTGTTCTAAAACCTTCCTGGTCGCTTCTAATGAGTCTTGTGCAGTGGGACTCGCAATAAGCAGATCGTCAACATACTGAACTAGTACCGTACCTTCTGGGAGCATTACCTCGCGCAAAACTTGTTTTAACACTTGATTAAAGATGCCAGGTGACAGCGCAAAGCCTTGAGGTAGTCTTGTGTATCGCAACTGTTCACCACGAAAGGTGAATGAAAAAATGTCCCTGCAGTCTTCAGCTAGAGGAAGACAGAAAAACGCGTTTGCCAGGTCTAGACAACTAAACCATTCATGATTTGGTGTTAGATTATTCAACGCTACATATGGATTTGGTACCGGTACGGTCTGAGTGATCAATAATTTATTGATGGTCCTCAGATCGTGAGCCATCCGGTATTTGTCTGTACCTGCTTTTTGTACAGGTAAAATTGGTGTGTTCCACTCTGCGTAGGAGGGTTCAAGGACGCCGCTTTCCTTTAAACCCTGAATTGTTTCAGCGATGCCCGCTTCTGCAGCTGATTTGTGAGGATACTGTGAAATCCAAATTGGGTATGTGTGATGCACCTGGAACGTTGTGGGAGGGCAGTTTATCAGTCCCACATCCGTGGGTCCCTCTGACCATAATGACCCAGGCATGCTATTAATTAAAGGACCTGCATGCGGGTGGTCCGTCAGTTCACGACCGTGTTCTCTGGGGAGCACATCATGCTGCATTAAAGCTACATCATGTGCTACAGAGATGATTGAATAACACTCACAGCTGGGGGAATACCAGACGGATGTTAAAGATGTTTCTACCCAATCTGAGGTCTCTAAGGCCCTCTTGACCATAGGTCCTAAGT